CGTGGCTCGTATCTAGAGTCCGAAGATTGAGTTCGTAGGTGTTCGGACCACATAAAGCTGCAGACGTAGGACGGAACCAGATTGAGCGAAGGAGCCAGAAACGACCAGTGCGGAACCATTCGTATACCATATGTATTTGTAACCACAAAATCGACTGAGTGCGTTGACAAGAGCGTGGGTGATCAGGCCAGCTGTCGCCAAGATTGACTAGAATCGACTGTACCGACAGGGAAATGGCCGTAGGCATGGGTTCAGGATAATAAAGTAAAGGAAAAAGAGAAAGGTGTAGCATGCATGTAGTGTGAGGATAATGTCCTATCTAATATTCATTTTTGCCTCGGTGGTTACTCGAGAAAACGTACAGGTAGGCGTACGAGGAGACCGGAACGCGAGAGAGTAGTCTAATGCTTACCTCGTGATCCTGCAATCTCATCCGAAGTCAAGGGCGGCGCGGTCTGCTGATCTGGACGTGATACCGGAGTCTCATCCGTAGATAGGGCAGATGACGCGTGCTGTTGACTGGGACGTGAGAGGGAGGTTTCCGATGCATCTAGCATGGGATCAGAAGGAGAAATAAGGATCCGGCTAGTGAGTTGGACGAGTCCAGCATTAAATCTCAATTTACCAGGTAGAGCACCGTCATTGACGTGTGCTGGTATGAGACGATCAACCTTGAAGGACTTTTCGTGACGAAAGATCACGTGAAAAGATCCTTCGTAAGGTTGTTGAGTACCGAATCTACTCGTAATAAACTTGCGAACAGGTAAATAACTATCGAGGGAGAGCAAACTGTTGATGTTATATTCGAGTTCACACCGGAAGCAGTGTTCGCATCTACACAGATAGTCATTGGACGTTATCTGATGTACATAAAATCGCTGCTCCGTGGTGTGAAAACATTTCTCAGGCAGATACATTGTCGTGCCGTATACAAGTTCGGAGACGGAACACTGCATATCTGCCGTTGCTGCTCTGTAATCGCCGTGTCGTCTCCAATCAATGCCATCTTCCTGCGAACCGAGTGGAGAGACGAGTTTTAAGGACTTTGTGAAAGACGAAGCAATACATGTAGCGAGTAAACTGTCGAACTCACGCTTAGCGAAAACTAATTTGTCCAGTCGGCGAGGTTTTGCTGTTACTGGGGGTCTGCAGGTGACGATGTGGCTTACCATATAATTAATCACCGATAGAATCTCCTCTGTTTAGTTACTTTGGAGTATTTATCAAATATAACATAAAACAAATAATCATGCAGAGAAATACACCAGTGATTCGTACACATTTTTTGGAGCATTAAAACCCTTGGACTTAATATTCGATGAAGTATCGGTTTATTTCAGCCTACGTGAATCGAGTAGCAGTTCATAGTGCTGTAAGGAATCGATACCATGTACGTCTATGGGAACATCAGCAGGGATGAACTGCCATAGATACTGTCATCGATTATTCAGGTTGATCGTTAGCTGTCGTGTACCATAGGTAGGAATGACAGAGCCATTCGCAGTCGAGGCAACGTAGCTTGAGACTTGCCGCTACCAAAATGTACGACAGAAACTTGGGCACCTGTAGCCACTAAGTACCTAGCGTTAGTGCAAAAATCGTTCACGGAAAATAAACGAGCGACCTGGGTTGACAGGAAGTAGATAGGTAAAAATGCAATGACCTGCGACTCGGAGTCTATTATGTTATAACTATCTACCATTTCAAAACCTTATGCAAGTATAATATGTATTAAAGGACATTATTAATAGCATTGCAACATGTTAAAAATAGTGATAGATGAATAATAGACTCACCGTAATTGACTTCCTTGAACGAAACTTCAGCCCACCAATTTGTAGTGGCAGTCGTGTCGAGATTAACTATGATCACCACTACAGCCCGTCAGAGACAAGAAAAGTTACGCCATAGTAAAGAATATATTTGCTGACGATTTCGTGGTATCGAAGGAATACCGAAATCATGCCAGGAAAGAGGGGCGAAATTACAGACAGTGGAGCGAAAATGGCAGCAACACAAAAGGAATTTTGCGCTTGAAGAATGTTCTAAACGAAAGGTACAGCTAAGCAATCACTGGTACAACTGGTTATAATAATGAATGTTTCTATGAAACCGACCTCTTGATAAAAGTGGATTCACTACTAGTTTGTCTATGTCAGTTTGTATAACTTTCATCTTCGCTAAAAATTTACTTGCAACTTAATAGGTTGATTGTATGTTGCAGATATTTTAATATCGAAAGCAATGTGATCTATAGAATAATATGAGCTAAGCAAGTGATGATAAAATTCTTTATGTGTTTATGAAACCCCTCATATATATGCTGAAGAACGTGAATTAAAACAGATTTCACTTATGAGAATTCTAAATGGAAGGCTGTATGTTATCAGTTCGATTATATATGATTGTAAAGCAAATTACTGCTGGCATATCAGTTCTGAAGTTAAGCAATGTAAAAGAAGTGGTTGAACATATTTTAACATGTACAGTTCCATTTATTATCCTAAAGAGAGGAAGAAAAAAGATTTGGGTGGAACAGCGCGAATTTGTCTTATTTCGTTTGACCCTAATCAGCTGTTTGCAGCCTATAAAACACTTCTTTTGCACTCAAAGCTCAGGATTTTTTATTCAGTCTGTAATTTGGAGGACTGAGTTTATTCGATTACATACCAGTGATTCTTGAATTAATCGTGTTACTGTATTTCATCAACACTCCAAAATTCATAAGCTATGCTTTTTGAAAATGTGTATGTTACAAATGTAGCCATCTCTCTGAAATATTATTTTTGATGCATAACTCCTTAACTGAGTAGCATTCTCCTTCAATATTTGTAGTCGCGCGAGTCGACGTTGACTATGAACACCACTACAGACCAATTACGTTCCCTGCAACTAATCGCAATCCCACCATGAATCGAGAACATAGCAAAAATAAGTATTGAACTTCCGGTTTATTAGTTATTTTAGTACAATCTCCATTTAATCTCACTTATGAGTTATGGTATTGGTCACAACTCTCTACTAGAACTTCAGGACATATATCTTGAATCTGTGGACTAGTGACTGGTCAATTCTTGCTAAATTAGGTGATGTCGTTAAACAAATAAAATGTTTCGCAGTCAGCTATTGTTTTTTAATAACTAGCCAGTAAAAGGTTAATTCTGTTGTCTAAATGTAATCCTAATTATTACATAAATCATTTGCGTTTCTTTTCATATAATGTTCAAGACGACCCTATATAATCTCTACGGTAGTGGTGTGAACGTCATGTGAAATCTTAACCCATTATTAATGTATCAGGATAGTAACAAAAATATAACCTTCGAGCACACAGGAAATCATCGATCTGAATGTAGTAAGTAGGGTTCAAATTTGTGAGACAATAGAATAGATCCTTTTTCAGTCATCTAGACAATTTAACCTCTGTGATATAATGAATCGGTTTGTAATTCTTGCTGGAGCTCTTCTAGTGTTAATGCTGATCCCAGGACCGGATAAAGAAGGAGGCTTAGATACAGAGTTACCAGTCCCACTCAGCAGAAAATAACGTTACTAATGAAACACACTAATAGCGGTTTATCAAGATTATCTGACATTTTAGTTTATATTAGCGACAGATCTTAGTCAAACAGCCTTTCGAAAATTGGAAATACTGAAGTTTTGTTTCTTGATAATATGGGGCTCTTCGGCATTACATATGTGTGACCTCATCAAATAACGGACTCAGGATATTCAGGCCTATATAATAGCCTTTAATCTTCAGACTACCAAGTCGGTAGCCGGTGGTTGACAGTTCTAACTTCAGTCATTTTGCGATATGACTGAATCATTTTCGATCGGGATTGGTAGATAATAACCACATATATTTTCCATCTACAGTGACAGTGGTTTCTCACTAGAACTCTATGAATCGCCAGTGGATATTTGTTATTCGTAATATACTTGTATACCACACGACAAACGATAGCATTTTTTATGCTCGGAGTTCTCAATTCAGCAGAGAATAAGTTATGTAAATATTTCCTTATCAATAATTCTTATTTTCAAAATATTTGATAGGATCTTAGTTCTTTGAATTGCTGATATGTGCAAACTGTCCAGTTTCAGCTTGTTAAAGCAGTAAGAAAATAAATATGTAATGCACTACAATTGTACAAGTGTATTTTCTTCTGATGAAACCAGTTTGAAGTAAGGTTTATTGTCTTTGCCACTTTGATGCATTAGGCTTGTTCCAGGCGCTGAATTCGCTAATGATTAACTATTCACATTTTTAAAATATTTGTATTTAGAACGTCTTATAATTGATCGTTATTTTTTAAGTTTCACAATCTTGGTGTAGGAGATTGATGAAATTGTCAAGCTCAGATTGTAACCATGACTGTTCTCAGTTTCATGCATTTAGTTATTTTGATAAACTTTCTTAATTTGAAAAATATTTGCAATATCAAATTTCCTCATCAAGTGATTTTAATCTTTATAATACTGCAAATATTCGATTTCAATATATCTGGTCATAAATGATTCTGCCTCACGGAGTTAGGTTAATTACGATGAATTTTAACATTTCAGTTTTAACATTTGTTATCAGACAATAACCAAATTTTTCAGACTGCATGTTACTCTCACTAAAACTAGAGACATCTAAAGCAAATGGATATAGGGAATATTTTTCCTATCCTTTTTGCAGCTTAAATCAGAAATGAAGGTTAGACAACGTGAGATAGGTTAGGTCGTTTGTAGTATTTGGATGACTCACCCCTTTCAAATACGAAGCATATACACACATGCAATGCTTGTTGCCAAACTTTTTCTCTACCATTCTTACCAGACCAACGAGGACAACCAAGTCATAGTGAAAAACTTTTACCCAAATAAAGAAAGATTAGATTGTCTAGCTCCCCTGTTCTTTATGATTTCCATAGTCAGTCATTGTTACGCACCTAAACACACGTACACCATAATCCACATACTAATCGTAGTCATAACGTCTCTGTTAGTCTCTCTAAGTCAGATCGTATTTACCAACTGTTTTTAGGAATTCAAGCATGTATACTGTGTAGATGGAAGTAACACTCTAAGCATTGTCAACTGACAGTAAGTTGATTGCTGTTTTATTTTTTTACTATGCATACCGTATCACTCCAAGGTCAACAATTTTGGCTCATTTCTTTGTAACTAGGTTGATGCACTTCACGTTTATTTAACTTTGACAAAAAGAAATATATTTTCTTAACGCGTCAGCAAATTCAAAGAAATTCAAGTTCCTATACTCAAAAATATAAGAACTTTTCAAAATATTTCTACAAGTTGTGTTACTTTCATTTTCTTAAAAATTAACTATTAAAACACTAAATAACTTGTATGACGAAGTCAAATCGTCTATAACTGGAGCGTATAGCAATTTGTTGAATAAGTTCCTACTGTATCCATATTCATAATAATGATTAGAAGGGGTTTTGACTTTCTTCGAGAATACGAAAGCACAATACCATGAATACAATTCTTGTTAAATCTTCCCCCTAAGCATTAGTAATATGATTAGGTTTACTGTACAGAATACAAAATGCTTAAAAAACTTCTCTGCTGTGAAGAAAGTGTTCATCAACAGATCAGTCGTCGTATTTATGTATTTAGTCAGTTGTAAACCTGATTGATCTATCACATTCTGGTCTTTGATACTATTCTATACACTTAAATATAACTGCTGAACAAAATTTCCGTATTCTCAATTGTATATTTTGATAATTCGCTTTATATATGTTCATACAGTAGCAAACCATAGTTTTTTTTTTTTAAATAAAACATTTAACAGTTGTCGATTCTTTACATCCTTGACTCAAGTTTATATCACAGACCAAAAAAAGAAAGGCCATGAAATTCATTGCTTGTTATTTTTAGAGTTAATACATCAAAGAAAATAAACGTGATTTGTCACAAAAATTATTCTGATACAAAACTTTAACTGTATAACAACTGAATTACAGCAGATTTTCTATAAAATATTTCTTCATTTATTCGTATTAGTGTTACATGGTTACATGCATCTAATTGTTATCATATATAATTTATTACAAAGGTTACTATACTTCATTGTAATTCTTTGTGATTTAGTTTGTTATCGAGTAAGTAGCTAATCTATTTCATATATTGCTTAGAATACGGCATTGTTAATAATTTTCTCATTAAAATTATGCCATTTAGGTGTTTCTCATGAGAAGTATAATTTATTTTAAGAATATTCCAAAAATAAATTATTAGCACTCACAGATTAAAATACCGAACAGACGCCAGAATACTGAAAGGAAATTTATGAATCACAAGAAAAGTATTGAGTATAATTATTTTCTGTTTAAAAGGAGAGTGATGAACTTGGATTTCGTATTTTCAACCTTAAACACTAGTACTAGGTAAGGACGGTGTATAAAATGATAATGTAGGCAATCTTCATTGACAAAGTTAGGGTTAGGACATGTAATACGTTATGCCTGACGTCCGGTCTATGTTTAGGTATGAAGAAAGGTAGAGGTGTTTGAACCGTGAAGTCATCACCAGTTGAACCAGTCGATGTTAGTAAATGCTAATGTTTGGAGATGTTAGATGACAACCTAAAACAGAACATAATGGCACACTTGCCTTCACTTGTTATCTTTCTATAGATATTTTGTTTCGAAATTCTACTGTCTTTCATCCCACAAATTCATATTTTCTGGTAGAACCATATTTTTTATGTTTATTATTTTCTGCTACCACTGATTCTGTTACTATTTCTATTACTCTGGCATTTATCTTGTTAACATCACTTATTATGCCTATAGAGTGTAACAACTTGGATCGATGAACATATATGACACGGTTTATGTTACCTATGATTGACTGATTCAAAGTGATAAAAAACTAATTGGTCTAACTTTAGGTGTCAATGGTAAAAGGCAATTATTTACATCTTAAACAAGTTATATTTGTTGAGACATTGAATAATTCACGACACGAACTTGTAAAACATCATTGACCATGGTAGCTAGACCGTGTGATAATTATGTTCTGTAACCATAGCACCAGTAAAAATATGCTTCACTTATGGTATATGGAACTGTTATACATTAGTTCCAGTTGTCTGTTGAAATATATGTTATCAGGATGATAGTGTGGTCGAAAGTTTAAGGGAATACAATAATTAAACTCTGGATAATTTTTGTGATAGGTGGATTTGTGGAGATTTCCGAGTTTCCATAGTTTAAATTATGAACTTATTGAATTTAGACCATGTTACTTCCAGGTCCACTATTTGGCAACCTTAGTAAGTTTGCCATAGCTAGTAACAATTGTTTCTTCAGGCTGTCAGTGAGTGATTTTCTTCGATCTCACTTAAATGAATTCATGTCCAAAGTTTTCTACTAGAAATTCAGTAATTATTAATATCAACCAATCAATGTTAGATCAACATTGAAACCCCCAATCACTGGACGTCCGTTTTATTCTAGTTTGGGACTCCTTGGCAGTGTACATTCACGATCCTGAAGGCAGAAATTGGACTGAAGACCTTCAATTTCGCGCGCAAACACCTGACCTCTAGACCACTGAGCCGACATCAAACGGTAGTAATGTCTAAATCCAATCAATCCACGATATTGTACAACCATCGTCCATTGTCTTTGGTAGGCAACTGCCTCACACTTGAAGTAGTTGAACTCCACTGGTCACGGTTTCTTGCTAGAATTCCGTGAATCCCGTCAAGTAGCTAGTTACTAGTTAGCACATGATAGTTATCAGTATAGGGTTTCGGAATTGATTGAGTTTAATTGGTCGGTTCATGGTTTCAATAAAATTCATCAAATGCTTCCTTTGAATCCCGTGGATGAAACCTATAGGTATTGTACTCAATGGAAACGATTTAGGATCTAATCTAGCGTATTTTTTAATATTGTAATTGATTCATCAAGCGATTTTAATTCAGATTGAAAAACATCTAAATTAGCTCAAATTACAGAATGTATTGTATGAACTATGGTACAGAATATAAAATTATTGTCTTTTTATGTTGATAACTCTAAAATAAATGCCTACCCAACCAGATCAGTATTCCAATTTTGTTCATTAGCGTTTTATTTTTATAACTTGTAAATATTTCACAAAACTTTTCATTTTCGTTCGCGAGGAGTTAGTTTAGCCAAATCAGTCTGCAAGATATTTTTCGAGACACCACCCTAAGTGTTTCCGTCTAAACAAACAACAACATAATGAACAGTATCAAAAATCCTTATATTATGAATTAGAGCAGTCAGTCCAGGAAGATATACTCAGCTATTATCATGAAAAAGGAACTAGAGTGAGTGAAACATGTTATCCACAAGGTTTTCTGAAACGACACTTGCATATAACGGACAGGCGAACATATAAATCGATGGTTAGCGAAAAACGTCCCTTTTTGAACATACAACAAAACGAAGATCTAGTTTTGTACTACGAGATAGACCAACTAAAGCAATCGGAAGGACATTTAATGCACAAAACCTCTGTTCAATGTTCTCTAGCCGACCTATGGTTATTCCTCAACTGGATGAAAAGTTACCGTTTGTCAAATCTATGTGTATCTACTGCTACTGAGGAGAAAGCTATGTTGGGTGCACAACCAGACAAATGAACACACAAGTTAGTGAACATCTTCTTTTCTGGTTAGGAAAGGATCATTAAAACAACAGCTCTATTCTATCACACATAGTAGATGGAAGCAAATTATTTAAAGTGATTTATCTTATACCTACTAGTTTTCCTTATGAGATTCAGCCTTGTCTCTTACACATAGAAGAAGCTATATGGATACCAGCTAACAATCCACGTTATTATATTTATATGAAATTTGTAGCGCCCTAATCTTCCCCTTGATCAAAGTAGCAAGATTTTATTTATCAGTATTTTCCATAGTCTTCATTTAATTTCCACCCCTTTTTTCAAATATATGCTTCATTGTCCTTCTTCGAATTGCGTAATTTTGTAATTTTTAATAATATTAAAGTACACATGTGAAAACCACACTGGATGACAAATCCATATTACGAAGATAGCTTAAGGGAAAGAACAAACTGTTCTCAAAAAATCATCTAACTAGATCTAAAATCACTTTGCTAGATAATTATATTGTTTTTTTTCATGGTTAAGTCACTAACTGGTCTAAACTAGACTACCATTACAAACTTTGCAGCACTAGACTACTGTTTCGTCCTAGTACGGGACTCCGCAGCAGAGTACAACCACGACCGCCACACTCGAGAGTTGGACCCAAAACCTTGTGTCTCGTTTGCGAACGCTATTCTATCCTACTATATCGAATATAAGTGTATTCTGTTCCGATAAATAGGAAATGACAACAAATACAACTCGTCATCAGACCTACTGCTTGTTATTGGTAAATTCACAGTGTTCTTTAATCTTCTGTGAAGGTAGTAGCTAGAAAAAAGCAATAATTTAACAAGAACTACTAACCTATTATCCAGCTTTTAATACCGAACAAACATTGTTGATAAAAAAAATACGATATATCGAATGGTAAACTATTCTAGTTTGTATTACATAATTAAAGTTTACCCACAGGCAGTGCTTAGACCCCAATTCCATTTTTGATTTTGATATCATAAACAGTTATTAGTATACCTGACACCTGGAAAATCATTATCTTATTTATTTTTTCATGGAGAACCAGTCTAATATCTTTAAATTCTTCCTTTAGACTTATGAAATATTTTCAATAAGTGAATGAAGCGAACAGTTAGGAAAAAAATTCAGTGTAACTAGATTTAATACCATATATTAGATTTTTTTTTCCGGCAAATCAATATTTGGGAACTGTTAACTATTTTTTGGTTTTTGTAATTTGACTAAATCAGTAATAAACTAGTGGTATTGATTCCTCATTCATAATACCATTAGGTCAGGTCATTTTAGAATTAAAATCATGGCTACATTCTTTTACCATACAACTGTTCAAATATTCTGCATTATGAATAGTGGAAAAAATGTGCATATATATGTATCTGTCTTCGTGCATGTTCGAACCAATCAAAATAGGGCTATGAACAGATATGTGCTCCAAAAAATTA